GGGGGGGGGGGGTGAAGAGAAGAAGCCAAGCAATGTTTAAAATACATTAACAGTGGTCATTATATTTAAGTTCACTAAAGGTTATAAACTGAAGAATTCTGACATTTTAAAGGGTAGCATATTCTCAAAACTAGTAATAGGAGATAAGTCATAGTGATTGATTCTGAAATGATCATGATTGGCCCAGCTGGGCCTGGCTCAGCAGTTGAGCATCGACCTAGGGTCCAGGAGATCGCAGTTCGATTCCCAGTCAGGACTCATGCCCGGGTTGTGGGCTCAGCCCCGTGGGGGGCCTGCAGGAGGCAGCCGATGGATGGCTCTCTTATCATTGGTGTTTCTCTCTCTCCCTCTCCCTTCCTCTGTCTGAAATCAATATATATTTTTTAAAAAGAAACGATCATGATTATTACAACCCCTTCACTGGAAACCAGCAAATACTGTACATCAGCTGTCTTTAGTTTTCATGAGAGCAGTTAACCGGCATGCGTAATTCTAAATGGTTCCAATTCATCTGCAATGTTATTAACATCGTCACAAACATAATTGGGTTCGAGGTTTATTTTTACAAACTATTTACTTGCTTTTATATAATTTTAGGAGTTATCGCCCGAGATGAAAACCTTTGTGGATCAGTACGGGCAGAAAGATGACGGGAAGATAGGAATTGTAGAGGTAAGAGACGCGTTTTCCTGACAGTTTCAATAAGTGGCGTCATTTTGTAGCTGTGTCCGACTCAAAACGCGACGTGGCGAGACCAGTCTGCAGAGGCTCATCTTGCCCAAGGGACAAGCTATCTTCTGTTCAGGAACATAAAATAAGTGTTGAGAAATGAAAGGGATCTGAGTCTGCTGAGGCCTCGCAGGGACCTGGGTACATGACGGGATTTGCCCGCACAGGCCACGCCCCCGACCCCCCGGTGCGCACCCACGGGCGAGCTTACCTGCCTCACTCGATGTAGCACCTGCCGTGTGCACGGTTCCGGGTATTTCTCACCATTCAACAGTGTGGACTTTTCTGTTAAATAAAGAATGAAATGTGTGCAGTCCCTGCAACGACGTCCTGGGGAAAAGCTGCACCCTGGGTTCTGAAATTCTGTTCTGAATTGGCAGTGGGCGTGCTGGGATGTCAGAGGAGTCACCTCTTATCTTTTGATGAGGACTTTTGTCTGAAGCAAGGAGGCAAAGCCAGGATCCCACAAAGCCAGGATCCCCATGCTTCCCGGTTCCCTCACTCCCCGTCTTCCAAAGGCTGGCTTCCCAGCTACCCCTGAAAACATCTCACCTATTTTCATCTCTATTTCTATGGGAGGACTTGAGTGGACAGCTTTCAGAAAAATAAGCTCCTGTTTTAAAATATGCCACATCGCAAGCATAATTATGTTCTTTATATAATGTCTTCAGTGCACTAGATTTTGACATATTCTGAATGCTGACAATAGTCATAACTTATCTTCGATTCAGAGAACCTGGTTTTCAAGTAATCAGTCTCCTAGGACAGGTGTGTGTCAATGTGAAATACACTTACTTTTGAACAGCTAGAGTTAAGGAAGGACATACTATTATTATCTTGATAATTAAAGTATTTCCCTGGAGTGTGCCCTCCCCTCTGCCTGTGTGTAGCTCACTGCTATATAGAGAGATGAATTTATAGTAACGGGACTTGCAGAGTGAGAACGAGGCCAGCTGATCCAGATGTGGACACATGGCAGGAAGAAGATAACTTACGTCAGCCGAGGCAGAAAAGTCAGAGAGAAGTGAGACACGGTGGGTTAGAAGGCTGATGCAGTCCAGCACATGGAGCTTTTGATAGATGGGCCCTCGGGAAAAACCAGCCCAAATCCCTTGTTTGAATGTCGAGGAGACTGAAGCCAGAAAGGTCGAATGATGCGTCCAAGTTCCCACAGGCGGGTGGGGAGCGAGAAAACCTAGATCTGGCTCTGAGTTATCAGCTCAGGCTCGAGAGGTGGGTGAGTGGCAGGTGGCAGGGAGAATCAGGGAC